GCCAGGTCTCAATGATGATCTTGCGACCAGTCAAGCCTGCATCACCCTGAGGACCACCGATGATGAACTTGCCTGAGGGGTTGATGTGCAGGTGCGTGTGGCTGCCATAGAGGCTGATTGCCTGCTGGCCGTTCTTCAGCTTGATTGATTGGAGCGTTCGCTTGATGACCTTCTCCTCGATCTCCTTATTCATCTGTTCCATGCTAGGGGCAACCATCTCTGCACCAGTGTAGCCAGCACACTCTTGGGTGCGCTTGGCCTTGGACGGCTCAGCATGCTGCGTGGAGATCACCACTGTGTGGATCTTCTTTGGTTCTACAGAGCCATCTGGGTGCTGCAGGTATTCAATGGTCACCTGCGTCTTGCCATCAGGCCGGAGCCACCAGCACTCGCCACTCTTGCGCACATCCGTCAGAGTCTTGCCAAGCCGTGTTGCCATAGAGTGGGTCAAAGGCATGCAGTCGGAGGTCTCGTCACTAGCATAGCCAAACATGATCCCCTGGTCTCCCGCACCTACGTCCATCTCATCCTGCTCAGGTGGCAAATTACTGCACAGGCTGCAGTTGTGAAAATTGTGAAATTGAAGGCAACTGAAATCCCCTCGCCATGCGTGGCCTTGCCAACGTGCACTCCACCGGCAATGTCTGGGCTCTGCTTGTTGATCCGGACCAATACCTCGCCTGAGTGCTTAGAGCAGTGAAGCAGGCATAGCAATGCATATGATGCATGGCAATGTGTCACAGAATCCATCGCATCCATAGCAGGAAACTTGCACAAGACTATTGAAGCCCAGGTTCAGCTCTTGTAGCTCAAGCCCTTGCTGTCCACACTGGACAGGTCGTCCACGAAGCTGTCGAATCCAATCTGCTGCACCACGCCGCGCACAACCTTGTCGTAATCGAGCTTTGCCCCAGTTGTGATCTCCTTAGAACACGTTAGGGAAGACGGCGGTTGAAGGGGGGTGGCTTAGGGGGTGCCCTCATTCCCTGAGCCTTCCAACCAAGGCTCGCCAGCAACCATGACCATGTTGTCCTACAGACCACAACAGCATGGGCCAGTTGTGGCTTCGACTTAACCTCCTCCAAAGTCCTTCGTGGCAGTCTCGCACGCAACCTTGCTCTTCGGGTCCACCTTGAGGCAGGCATCGAGCACGGCATCAGAGACCTGGTCACAGATCTTGTCCGGATGGCCTGCGCCAGCGCGTGCCCGGCTAATACAGGACACCCTGCGGCCCTTCACGACTGAGCCCGGCGCCTTCGTTCACCGACTCTGAGGAGAAAAGGAAGGTGCGGGTGGTACGAGCCTTCTTCTGAGCGGGCTCTGCCATGGTTGTGTCAGGGCAGGTGGACCGGGCGCACAAAAATTGCAGAAGCTGCACGAGCATCAGGGATGACAATGGCATGCCGAACATACTGGACAAAAATACAGATATGACATTACAGCATGGGCACAGCATTGGTTTGCAACTTAGCTGCGACAGCCATTTCCAGGCGCTGCGATGCTCAACTTGCCCGGTTTGACATGACCGGCCACGGGGCTC